GTATAAGAGACAGGCTTTGTATGGCCAATGGCGTATCTAGTCTTGAAATGGGGGTGCTGATGGGGTGGAGCCATATCTCAGTGGCATATCTACGGGTGGGTGGAGGCGAAGGTGAAGTGGGGGCGAAGGTGACCGGTTGAGGGCGCTAATTCGCAAAATAAGGTGATTTTAGGTGATTTTAAAGTACTTGACCGTGATTTTGCGCTACCCCCCCCCCCCCAGCGGTGAATACGCCTGAGATGGCCCAGAATTGTGCTTTTAGACCACATATTAGGGACCGGCAATAAAAAGATAACGTTATTTGCATGCACTTTTTTTTATTGGCAGAGCGGTTTCTGTACAGTACGTGCTGATGACATGTGATGCGATAGTGACATGGCGAGGATGAAGAGTGTAGAACACCACAGACTTAGTGTGTGTATACATACATAAAAAAAGAGTAAGTTGCATAAGTATTTTTTTTTCCATGAATTGATAAATCCCAAAAAGAAAGGGTGGGGGGGTGGTCCTGTTCTTCCCAGGAAAAATGTTGATTCCTAGGTGGTGGGAAATTAAGTTTCCCGACTTCTGAGGTGTCTTTTAATGACTTTTAAATTCTTCAAAATTCAAGGTCCCCCCCCCCCACCTTCTTGAAAATGATTCAATTAATCGATGAACTCTAAAGATAAAGGGGGTCCGGGTTCCCCCGGAAATTTTCGATTTATAGATGGCGGGAAATGAGCTTTCCTGACTTCTGAAATGTCTTTTAATGACTCCTCCTTCTTTTCTTGCATTTTTTCCGATCATACAAAAACCTCCAGACATATATTTTTTGCCAAAAAGTGGGGGGGGGGGGCGGCCCCCGCTTCCGCCGCCCATGTTACCTCTCCCCTACCTATCACATGACCCAAAAAATCTAAGGATTAAAATCCTAACAAGCATTTAAACGGTCGAGGTTAATAGTTCCATGTTCGAGCCGTTAACCCTGCTTCTCTAAGCCAATTAAGAACTTAAGTTCTAGACAATTCAAATGTTCATTCCAATCTTTAGAAACATTAAGATATCATCAATGTAATTAACAACTTCCTCAAGACCTTTAAGTAAAGTACGCATCATGGGCGAGAAAGCTGCTGGGGCGTTTACCATCCCAAATGGCATTACCCTAAACTGGTGTAAACCCTGGGATGTTACAAAAGCTGACTACTTCAGCTATCAGAATTTGTCAATAACCTTTAGCTAAGTCAATTTTAAAAAAGTACTTACCTTGGCATAAATTAGGTGGCTTATATCAAGCCGGGCTGTGTTCCTATGGTAACTAGGCTTAGCGTGCCACCGTGTTTAACTTTTCTAAGCCGGGCTTCAATAGCTGCGGGTGAAGTGGGGGTGGGGGGTTGCGTTGACTTCGTACGTTTTGAGCGCATTGTTTCGAAACTCGTTTCTTGGTTACGGTTCATTATGCAAATACTCGCGCCTGCCTAATCCTACTAGTCTGAACGCCCGGCAAAGTTAATCCGGGCTTAACATTGAGCCAGGCTCAACGTATGCCTGGCTTATTTCCAAGTTTGAACGTAGCCGTCTAGAATACACTTTTACCAGTGCCTCTGCTACACGCTCTGCCTCTATCCTAGGTAAGACCACAACCTCTGTGTATCAGGTTGCATAATCTACTACAACTAAAATTTACCGATTACCTTTCTCAGAAGCTGGATGTATTGGTCCTATGATATCCACCGCAATTTAAACGGAGTATCAATTAAAGGCATTGGCCCTAACAATGCTCTACTGCAACCCTACAAATGTCGCACGATCTGCAATATCGTTGAACATACCCCTGTAGACCTGGCCAATAGAACACGTTCAAGATCTTTTCCATCATCTTTCCTACTATAAGATGACCCGCCATCGAGACGTCATGGATGGAACCACCAATTTGATCAACAGGTATCTGACTTTCTAGTAATAAAAACTCTGAACAAAAGTCCTCTTTTTTCATTTAATTTTGAAAAAAATTCCCTTACCTTTTAGTCTTTCTTTCATATATACCTTCCACCGACGTTAATAATTCACCATCCTGTTAACTAACAAAGGCTTAAATGGCTTATTTCCATTTCTATCATACTACGGGTCTTCACCCCGCCAACTAAAGATCTACGTTGAACATTAAATCCAATTTCTACATTACATGGAACTTCGACGAAAGGAATATTTCCCACAATAAGATCATATTCATGCACAGCGCCGTAACAAACCCTTTAAAAAATGGACAGTCACCCACATTTTGGCTAAAGGCACCACCCTTTCCGTACCATCCAATAGAATGCCTTTACGACCAATGAATTTATCATCTTCCAATAAGGACTTCCTAACCACCACTGACGTACACCCTGTATCTCTAAAAAACATCACCTTCTTTTCTTTTGATCCTTTCCCAATTGTTTCATTCATAATTAGTGAATGGCACATACCTCAGCACATTATGCCCCCAGTGTCTGTTCGTCTCCCAAACTTGCTTTGCATGCCAGGCCCAGTACGCTTCATATTATAATTTCTATATGAATGTCATCCGTCCACAATTAAAATAAAGTAGATTTACTTATCCTTGTTGTTAACCTCCGATTTACTCAAATTAGTGTCAAGCGTCTTTGGCACTAATACCCCTACTACAACCTAGCCTAGGCTTCCCTTCTTCGGATGAGCTTCCAACCATCAATCAGATAATCTATCCATCAATACTTTCAGGTTTGCGTTCCTTTATATACAGTTAACAGAAATTGTTCTTGTAGAAGTAAGTCAACCAGGTTCACTAACTCAACCAATCTCTATAAGTATCCTTTCAACCTTAGGGTAAACTGTACAAAACTCTCATCACACTCTTCAGCTTCTCCCTGTACCCATCATCCGTTAAACAAAACCTAAATAAAAGTGCGCACTTAATTTCATGAATAGTCCTGACACGCTTCTAAAGGAGAGTCGACTATACACATTTAGGGCTTTCCAAGTCAACAGAGTACAATTTCTTTCAGCAAACTGCTCAAAACATCTTAAGTATGCGTCCAAATAATCAACCGTATCCTTAAATAGGGGTAATTTAGGGCCTTTTTACTTTTACAACAGATTGGTTCACTTGCGCTGATACCGACATTAGAAGACTTTTCTCTGTTTAAAGCTTCATTTCGGCATTTGTCAACTCAATCTGCCTACTCTCCATACCCCAATTGCTTTTCTTGCTCTTGCTCTCTAACTGTCGTTCTTCTCTACCATATTTTTCTCTTTCCCTAGCAAACACCAACAAGGCTGTACCTTGAGTCCCCATTTTGTCTACCCATCGTAAGTACTTTCTAAAATTTCATTATTTCTATTTTAGGCATGAAGTAATCATGTGATAAAATAATAAATAATTCACAGTACAACTTCAATGTTAATGTCTAAACAGTGTTATCGCATAATTACAATAACAAATCTCGTTTAAATATGCAAATACGTTTGTACACAATTAGTTAATACTCAGCACTCATTGGCTAGGGAAATTTTCCCGGATGAGCCCCCATTGTCACAAGTTCTAAGAAATTCCAACCAATGAAAATACTGAGTACAACTAATAATGTAATGCAGAAAAAAATCATATATTTAATTGTTAAAACTTCCGACTACCACGTTGAAAAGTAAAGGTATAATATACAAATAATACGGTATAATAGATATGTAAATATCGAACAAAAAAAATGTTCCGTTAAATGTTCTCACGCTACGCTTGCTCGGTTCTACCGAAGTAACAAATCAAAATGGGCGGCTCAAATCCTCCAGCTTTCCTGCAAAAGTTTTATAAAACTTAGGGCGTCTCAATTCCACCACAGTTTTCTAGCAGCACAGTATCCACAAAACTTGGGCGTCTCATTTCCACCACAGTTTTCTTGGCAGTACCCATAGCACTTGGGCGTCGCAATTACACCACAGTTTCTAGAAATATTTTCATACAACTTGGGCGGCTCAATTCCACTACAGTTTTCTTGCATGTATATCAAGAACATTATAGGCTACAATTTAGCCACATACTACCAGATACTTCTTAGGGGTAATCCATTCATTTCGGCCTATCTTTTGGCCATTCAAATCATTGGCCTCTCTTGAGCTGTTTTACGCTCAGTCAAATAATAATAATGATAATAATAATAATAATAATAATAATAATAATAATAATAATAATAATAATAATAACAATAATAATAATAATAATAATAATAATAATAATAATAATAATAATAATAATAGTAGTAGTAGTAGCAACAATAATAACGATAATGACAATCATCACATAGTAGGAATAATGATAATAGTAATAATAATAGTAATAATAATAGTAATAAGTAATAGTGATAATATAATAATAATAATAATAATAATAATAATAATAATAAAAATAACAATATAATAATATTAATAATAATAATGATAATAATAACAACAATAACAATAACAATAATAATAATAATAATAATAATATTAACAATAATAATAATAATAATAACAATAATAACAATAATAATATTAAACAACAACACCAACAGCAGCAGAAACAGCAACAACAATAATAATAATAATAATAATAATAATAATAATAATAATAATAATAATAATAATAATAATAATAATAATAATAATAATAATAATAATAATAGTAGTAGTAGTAGTAGCAGTAGCAGTAGCAGTAGCAGTAGCTGTTGCTGTTGCTGTTGCTGTGTCTTCTGGCTCTCTGGTATGGTGATCTGTTCCTTACACCACATTCGCAATACCATCTGTGTCTGCACGCTTTACTCAACATTGTGGTCCAGTGCAGTATCCACACAGATACAGATACAGATACCAGCTGCTAGCTTTGGCTGGCCTTCAAGAAGGGACCAATCAGATTTAAGTAATTCGAAGCTAGCTTTGGTTGGCTGTACGTGCTATACTGTATTATAACATTGCTACAGGTTAGCTGTAAATAACATTTTTCTATCAACCTCAAAGCATGGTTATTAGATTGATAGGTGAATGACATCTTCTATTTTTAACTTAAATAGGTCCTCTAAATATTTTAATTTTACTACTGGGACTATCGTAATTTAGTTATATTTTTTATGAAATTTATTTCGGCCTGGCAGAGCTGGCTGATCTCGCAGCAAGAGGGGTAGTTAAGGCCTAATAAAAACATTATTTGTACGTCGACAAAATACAAGTTGGTGGACCAATTCAACTTATTAGAAAAACAAGTGTGATGAGTTCATCCCGTTGGAACAGTTCCAATCGGAAAGACCAGTAGGACATTTGTGATGTTTTTTTTGCAATTAACTATAATGTTATCATGTTACTTATTAATGTTCTTTTACAATATTGTGTATGTCTTCATGATTTCGGATTCATCATCTGTGTGAATCGCAATTTAACGTAAACTAAAGACCAGACTTCATTATAATTATGATAATAATATAATATTTTTATGACCTTATATCATATTTTTTATTAACCTATCATGCAGAATAGCAATGCTAATAGATGAACATAGGTATTTTTTTTACCATGCTGGGCTATTGGCCCGACGTCGGTAAACGTTTGAAATGAAGGTTGGTTACAACTGTTGGTCCGACGTTGGTAAGAGTTTGTAATAAATACTAGGATGTGATTATAGACGTTGTCCCAACGTCGAGGTACTTTGTTGGCCCAACGTCGGTAAACGTTAGTGGAGGTTGGTGACAACAGATGGGCCGACGTTGGTTATAAGTTGTAAATTTTAAACGTTTACCGACGTCGGGCCAAAAAAAAAAAAATTGGTTCGTGTGAGAATCGAACACACAACCACCAGGTTTTCTATTCATTATCCACCATCAACTAACTGCCTTAAATAAAATGGTTTGTGTGGGAATTGAACACACAACCCCCAAGTTTCCCGTAACATGATTAGTCTATTTTTTTTACTAATTTGCATAATGAATTTTTCAAATATTTTTGTCTATTTAAAAAAAAAGTGCGTAAGTTATGGAGATGGTAACAATCAAAAATCGATTATAAATTTAATTCTACATTTTTAGAAAATAAAATTAACCCTCTCGGCCGATTTTTGACACCATGACCATGCGTAATATTAACCTGCAGTGTATATATACAAAGAATTTTTTGTAGTAGGATCAGAGTTGACTAACTGGTACTTGGTGTGGTACTAGGTTTATCGCATTTATGGCTTAGGGGCCGCGGTTCACCTCCCTTCATTTAGTCATGCTGGATACTCCTGATCGTGGGTTCGATTCCCACACGGGGCAAGTTTTTTTTAAATTTTTTTAAATTTATTTATTTTTATTTACTTCTTTTGAAGGTCATGGGTTCGATTCCCACACGAGCCAGTTTTCAGGCAGTTTAGTTGATTGTGGATAATGAATAGCAAACATGGAGGTTGTGTGTTCGATTCCCACACGAACCAATTTTTTTTTTCTTTAAGGAAGTTTATTTGATGGTGGATAATGAATGTATTGTACTCGTTGATAACGTCGCGAAATAACAACAAACAACAACGTGTCATGTCCGTGCCTAGGCCGCCATGGAAGCCCACTGGCTCCTGTGTAATTCATGTTGAACCAACTGCAGACGAAAAGGTTACAATCTTTTCAGAGATAAGCTGGAAGAAAGTATTAGACAGTGCCCATCGAAGTCGTATATAATATAAATATGTGGGTTACCCACATCTTTAAATTTGCACAAGTAATTAAAATTGTTTATTAATCACACTTATAAACATTTGTACTACATTCGGCTTATGCATGTCTACGCCCCGGTCTACGCATGTCCAGCAGGGGGTACAAACCAAGGGTCGTTTAGAGCCGGGTAATAAATATCCCCAGTAGGGGTAATTGGTACGTGTTTTATAGCCTAGTATGGCCAATGGCGTATATAGTCTTGAAATGGGGATGCTGATGGGGTGGCCCATCAATGGCGTATCTACGAGATGGAGGGGGGGGGGGCGAAGGTGATCCAGTTGAGGGCGCTAATTCGCAAAATAAGGTGATTTTTAAGTATTTGACCGTGATATTGCGCTTCACCCCCGGATACGCCTGAGATTGCCCAGAATTGTGCTTTTAGACCACACTATTAGGGACCGGCAATAAAAAGATAACGTTATTTGCATGCACTTTTCTTATTGTCAGAGCGGTTTCTGTACAGTAGGTGCTGATGACATGTGATGCGATAATGACACCACAGACTTAGTGGTGTATACATACATAAAAAAAGATTTAGTAAGTTGCATACATATTTTT